AAGGGGCGTCACAGATGGACAGAATGGTGAAGAAGGCATTTAGCATGCTGGCCTTCATCGGCTGAGGCATTGAGTGTAGGAGTTGGGATGTTATGTTACAGTTGTATAAGTCATTGGTGAGGCCGCACCTGGAGTATTGTGTACAGTTTTGGTCACCCTGTTATGGGAAAGACATAGTTAAACTGGAAAGTGTACAAAGAAGATGTATGAGGATGTTGCCAGGACTTAGTAGGCCTGAGTTATAGGGAGAGGTTGGCCAGGATAGGACTTCATTCCTTGGAACGTAGGAGAATGAAGAGTGACCTTATTGAGGTGTATAAAATCAGGAGGGACATAGATAGGATGAGTGTTTTTGCCCAGGGACAGGGAATTGAAAACTAGAGGGCATAGATTTACGTTGAGAGGGGATAGATTTAAGAAGGACCTGAGGGGCAACTTCTTCACACAGAGAGTGGTGTGTATACGGAATGGGCTGCCGGAGAATGTGGTTGAGGCAGGTACAATAGTAACATTTAAAAAACATTTGGATAAGTGCGTGGATGAGAAGGGTTTAGAGGATATGGACCAAATGTGGGCAATTGGAACTAACTGTGTGGGCACCTTGGTCTGCATGGACCAGTTTGGGCCAAAGGACCTTTTTCCATGCTTTATCACTCTATGACTCTACAATGCGCTTCTAAGTACTCCACAATCTCATCCTTAATAAAGGACACTAAAATTTTATTAATGACTGAGGTCGGGCTAATCTTCTGCCTCCCTCCCTTCTTAAACAGAGGTGTTACATTAGCTGTATTTCAGATCTTTGGGACGTTCCCTGACTCCAATCATTCCTGAAATATCAACATTAATGCTTCTACAATCTCCTCAGCTATCCCAATTGGAACTCTGTGGTGTAGTCCATCTGGTTTGGGTAATGTATCCACCTTCAGAACCTTCAGCTTCCCCAGCATCTTCTCCTTAATGATGGTCACTGCAATCACCTCCGCCCCCAACTCTCCTGAAATTCTGGCCTGCTGCTGGTGTCTTCCACTGTGAAAACTGATGCAAAGTACCTGTTTAGTTCCTCTGCCATTTCTTTGTTCCCCTTTACTACTGCATTAGTGGTCCAATGTCTAGTCTTGCCTCTCTCTAACCTTTTAGATATCTAAGAAAAACTCTTTCAATATTCTTTTACATTAGTAGCTAGCTGGCTGACCCTCATATTTCACCTTCTCCCCTCTTATTGCTTTTTTTTTTAACTCATCCTCTGCTGGTTTTTTAAAGGCTTCCCAATCCTTTGGCTTCCCACTAATCTTTGTCACATTGTGTGCTTTTTCTTCTGCTTTTATGCTGTCCCTGACTTCCCTTGACAGCCATGATTGCCTCATCCTCCCTTTAGTATGTTTCTTTTTCCTTGGGATGGATTTCTGTTGTGCCTCCTGAATTACATTGCTGTTCCAACATCTTCCCTACCAGGCTACCCTTCCAGTCAACTCTGGCCAGCTCCTCCCTCATTTTTGTAGTCACTTTTGCTCAATCATTACACAATTACATCTGATTCAACCTTCTCCCTCTCAACTTGCAAGGTGAATTCTATCATATAATCATCATGGCCCCCTTGGGGTTCCTTCACCTTAAGCTCTCTCCCATATCCAGTCTCCCATATCCCTCACCCTCTTACCCATCTCTCCTCGAGTCATTAAATACTGTCAGAAGAAATAGGAGCTCACCACTCCAATCTTACCAGATGTGAGCACACTTGTGGATGTCAACATCATGTTCAAAGACTGGAACTCTTATTTCTACTCACCAGTGCTAAATTACAATGCACTAAGCCTAGATAAAACATAACTGGGAAAGGTGCCATATTTGGTCTGGACACCACGGCTGCTACTTCTTTGAATCAGATGCTAATGAAAAGCTTTGTCTATAATCACAGGTAAACAAATATATTTATATGACATAAACAACAAAAGATCAAGGAAATTTTCTTATGTCTTGAGTAACAGTTATCTTTCAGACAACAGGAACAAAATTGAGAGCAACAGAGTTCGGACTTTAGAGCATTATGGGTGGCCTTACAAGATTCAGCATGGCATCTGTGGCGCCACAGATGGGGAGAGTCATGTCAGATACCATCTTGGTAAGGGTTTTTACCCCATCAGCAGATAACTTCTGCTGCAAGTACAGAGAGTTGTGAGGTCATGACTGTAGTTTGATTCCAGCATTGCTACTTTGGAGCTCAACGCTGTCGCTAACGCCATGTCTCAATCAGACACAGCCAAACATGTAATCAGCAGCAGGAAGTACACTGTTACTTAAAGTGATTATCACCTACTTTCAGATTGATTACTGATGGATTTCCATTTGCTGTGGCTACACTGTAGAGGTGTTGGTGAATACCAGCATTCCTTAATGTTGCCAGAGTCTGTAGGAAGTAGCTTGCTAAGTGCTGAAGGACTCTATCTTGATTTCAAGGTGAGCACAACAGAGAAATTCTGTGACTAAGGAAGGAAGTGTAAGGTTGTGGGGATGAGTGTATGCAAAAGGCATTAGCTGAGTTGCTCATCTGAAGAATTGCTGGTTCATACAATGTGCCAAACAGTTTTCTTCTATAAGTAAAAATTCTGTGATTCAATTGCTTTTTCTAATGGACGTAGTAATAGGCATTCCCCTTGGAAAGTAGAATAACTGGGTGAATGAGCACAGACCACAAAGAAGATGTCAGAAGACAAGGGAGATGGAGGATGAGAGATGAATACTCAGCAACAGTCCATATCCACATAGTGTTCAGTGATTCATTCTCCCATTTTAATCTCCAAGAAGAACAATATGTTAGAGATCTGCAGTTGAGTGAAGATATCTTCACCGAAACATGCTGTCTGTTGGGGACAAGTAATTATGATTGTATTACAAAAATAAAGAAGATTAAATGCTATAAACTTAAATTTTAAACATATGGAATTTGTATATCCTATAAAGATATGAAATTTAAATAAGCACAAAATAAGTTTTTAAGGGCTAGCAGGAGTATTCAGCAGAAATTCTGAACTTAAGATGCAGTTAAAAACCAGTTACACCGAATTCAACAAGGTGTATTCTATCAAGAGATTCATAGTTAATGGTGCACAGTGAAAGTTTTCACTAGTTTGACTGATTTCCAATTGATTACAAACTACGTGAATCTCAACAGTACACCCTCTGGAGAAGCACAGAGTTAATGACAGCAACTTCTAGATTTCCACATTATTCTGTGCATAGAATGGCACCTAATGCTGCTGCATGATGGTAAATAATGACAGCTTCAGTGTCATTACCACTGTGAGATCAGGGCCCAAGAGGCCAGGGGTGTAAGGCTCAGTGGATGCATGACCCACCCCACTCTCGTACCCCACCAGTAGACAGCTGAAAATGGGATGGTGGCATCCAGAAAATGAGATGTGACTACAATGAAGTTTCACTGAATCTACAGCCTGAGGAAGTAATCTCTAAGTCAGGACTTTGGTCCATTTAAAATGATGATCAGGATGTTTTGGAACTTCCAAGAATTGACTGAAGGTTTTGGGCAGAGCTGAGCTGGGTGTAAACTCTAGATACTCTCAATTATTATTGGGTAGCTGTTCTACCAAATAAAAATTGATTTCCAGCCACAACTGAATGACTCAATATGATTTAGACAAAAGCGTAGTACTGTAAATCTCAAATTAAAACACAAGAGGTTGGGAATGTTCAGCATGTCTGACAGCATATAGGGAGAGATACAGAGAACTGATAAATTTACTCTTTCTTTCTGCAGACGCTGACTGATTTGCTTAGTATACAGAATACTATTGAGGCTTGTTCTCAAAATGGACCACACCATTTGGCACTAGGCTGGCATGTTTTGCATGTTGTTTTGGTCAGGGAACATTCACCCCAGTTTATCTAACATTATGTTGCAGATGTTGAAAAAGCAAAGTTTTAATTTAATTTTTGTGATTTTTGTTCAGATTACATTGGATGTCATTGTTAGCCAATGAACCACTGTTATATTTCATTGTAAAGGGACATTCAATTGGTTAATTTTAGTGTTGGCACTCACTACAGGAATGATCAATTCAAACAATCAGCCTTAACCTCGGCTTTAGGAAAAAAACCTAACTGCAAACGAAGGCCATTCTATTCTCACTCTTAAATGAGACTGTTGCATTGATTCACTAAAAACTGTGTTGATCCCTTTCAATTTAAAGTAAAATACTGTGGATGCTGGAAGCCTGAAACAAAAACAGAAAATGCTGGAAAAATGCAGCCGGCCTGGTAGCCTTTGTGAAAAGAGAAAGAGAGTTAATATTTCCAGTCCAATTGGACTCTTCAAATGTCTTCAGTTCTGAAAAACCATCAAATCAGATTTAAATGATTAACTTCAATACTTTCCATTCTTATTTTGTATAGGAAAATGCAACCAGCAAAGATTGAAAACTTCAATTCAAATGGTATTGGTTGGATTCAACCTCTGTTACATTATAGTTACCTGTCTCTATTTCTGTCAAAACATCTGTTTTTAAACTTGATACTGGACAGAAATGATAATAGTATGAAGTTCAGAAATTCAGGGTCACAGATGGCAGTTAAAGCAAAGGTTTATGCATCTTGCAAAAATAAGATTGTTTTAAAAAGTTTTGATTCACACTGATTCTGTAATTTTACTGTTAAATCTACTGTTTGGGTTTGGAAGAGTGACTCTTATTCCATTGCATTTTGGTGTCAGCTTATGGCTTCATAGTTAATTTGCATTGCAGAACATAAAAGTCACTTTGTACCAGTATTAAACTGGAACATAAAAGTATTCTAAGCCTCTTTCATGTAAAACTTTTGTACTTATAGTTTTAGAAAAAAGGTGGGAGGATCCCCAATTTCAGCACAAAACTAAAATTCCTTATAACTTGTAACAATATTTTTGATTGACTATTAACATTACCTGTTTTCCTTTGTTAGCGAGTTAATTTCAGTTGATAGTAACTCGTGTGAAGAGGCTTACTTACGGCTCTGCTCCGATTGCTTGACTGATTTAAGTTTTACATCTTGGTTGGCATCAGCATGTAAAGCCCCGAACCAGTCTTTCAGCCTGGAAGCGAGATTCCTCAGCTCTTTCTCATTGCACACTGTCAAACAACAGATGAAAACAAATACATGTTTGGAGCAGTAAATGTATTTATAGAGGCTATATTAAAACAAATCCACCTCGTGCACTTAGGCATAATATCATAAGACTAAAGAAATTGTTTGACAAGGTTCTGGATGATGGACTAGTTAGTAAGGATATATCACAAGGAATTCAGGTGAGCTAGCCAATTAGATACAAAAATTGGTTTGAAGATAGGAGACGGAGGATGGTGATAAAAAGTTACTTTTTGGACTGGAGGCCTGTGACTAGCAGTGTGCCACATGGATTGGTGCTGGGTCTCCTGCTTTTTGTCATTTATATAAATAATTTGGATGTGAACAGGAAGTATGGTTAGTAAGTTTGCAGATGACACCAAAATAGGTGGTGTCGTGGACAGTGAAGAACATTATCTCAGAGCAGAACAGGGCCCTGATCAGGGTCAATGGACCAAGGAGTGGCAGGTGGAGTTTAATTTAGATAAATATGAGGTGTTGCATTTTGGTTCAGCAAACAAGGGCAGGACTTATACAGTTAATGGTAAGGCTCTGGGGAGTGTTGCTGAACAAAGAGACCTGGGGGTGCAGGTGCATAGTTCCTTGAAAGTGGAGTAGTAGGTAGACAGTGAAGAAGGCGTTTGGCACACTTGCCTTCATTGGTCAGAACATTGAGTATGGGAGTTGGGAGTTATGATGCAGCTATATAGGACATTGGTGAGGCCACTTTTAGACTACTACGTACAACTCTGGACATCCTTCGATAGCAAGGATGTTGTTAAACTTGAGAGGGTGCAGAAAAGTTTTACAAAGATGGTACTGGGATTAGAGGGTTTGAGTTATAGGGAAAGGCTGAATAGGCTGGGGCTTTATTCCCTTAAGCTTTGGATGCTGAAGGGTGGCCTTATAAAAGTTCATAAAATCATGATGGGCATAGATGGGGTGAATAGCTAGGGTCTTTTTCCTACTGTGGGAGAGTCCAAAATTAGATGGCATAGGTTAAAGATGAGAGGGGAAAGATTTAAGAAGGACCTGAGTAGTAACTTTTTTCACACATAGGCTGAAAATCCAAAGACAATACATCTACTGGCACTGCCTCATCTATTCTACTAGCTACATCTTCAAAATAAAACTAGTAGGTCTGTCAAACATGACCTTCCTTTCACGAATCCATTGACTCTGTGTAATATCATTGGTATTTTTTCACTGTCCTATTATCACGTCCTTTATAATTGACTCCACCGTTTTCCTTACTCCCAATGTTATGCTAACTGGTCTATAATTCCCAGTTTTCTCCCTCCTCCACCTTTTAAGCAGTGGGGTTACATTTGTCATTCTCAGTCAGCTGGGACTTCCAGAATCTACAAAATTTCAGATGGTGACAACCAACACACCCACTATTTTCCATGGCCATTTTCTTTACTACTGTGGAATGCAGATTATCAGGTTCTGGGCATTTATCAACTTTCAGTCCTATTAATTTCTCCAGCACTTTTCATTAATTCAAATCTGCTTCAATTTCTCCTTCTCAAAGGAACCTTGCTTCCCTTTCACTTCTTTTTTTTGTGTCTTCTGTGAAGATATTGTGAATTGCTCTTTAAATTCCTTGTTTTCTACTACCATTCTCCTGTTTCAGACTGTAAGAGGTTACATTTTTCCTTACTAATCTTTTCCTTATTACATACCTCTACAAGCTCTTACAGTCTGCTTTTACAGTCTTTGCAAATTTACCTTTACAGTTAATTTTGCTTTCTTAGACATCCTCAATTGACAAAATCAGCTCAGAAGCAGTGAGTTTATTAATTACTCAACATGAAAGGAATTAGTAACACAAGACACATACTCACAGATTGGAAATAAACGATGAGTCCAAAAAGATAATATTTGAAAAAATGTCAAATATACAAATCAGTTTCTGTATTGTTCATTAAGAGTGGATTGTTGAACATTGTGGTCATTGCAGCAGAGGTTACTGGTTGCCATGTGAATAGTTGATTTTTTGTTCTGTGGACTGATTGAAATCCCTTTGTGCTGATTCTTTTTTTTAATCCTGGTTTGCCGCTCTCAGTGAGAGATGGTCATCCTACGGTCTGGCAGCTAGCTAGTTGACCTCCAACTCTCAAAATGGGAGAGTTGCAAGCGGCTTTTTAATCACTATCTTTTGTATTCTTCAAAGTGATAAACACAAAATGGGCAGAATATTTTTGGGGTCTAAGCGGTGTGAACTATGGTGAAGTTGCATCTTTTATGCTTTGAGTGAGGCAAGTTTCTCGCCAGCCAGCAGTGAGGTAACAATTAAGAGGGTTTATAGCTTTTTAAAACCTTTATTAACATCACAACTCATTTCATTAATATTCAGCTTCCTAACTTACCAAACACACTGAACAATCTAACTTGAGACATTTCAAGTCAGAGCGGATACCTGCAACTGGCTGTAAGGCTCGCCATGTTGTTCAACAGCACACAGTATTTCTGGGCATGATCAATGGACACTAGTCACTTGCACCCCTCATCCATAGGCAGTTGCATTTACTAACCCCTCAGGACGAATAACAGACTTGCATTGTAGGGTGCACCAGTGACCAGCATTGGAATATAGCTGCAAAGACACTTTGTAAATAGTGACAGGCATCCAGAGTGGACTAGGCTGCATCTCTGGGTTGCTCACTGTCTCTCTTAGCGTTTGTCCACTTAGCATCTACCTGCATGTTTCCAGCATCTGTGTATTGCCAATGCCTGTTGGCGCGTTGGCGGCTCAGTCAGAGTCAAAGTCTCTCAGTACTGCCGTGCTGTCATGCTATTTTACATAGACATAAGATGACCTTCTTGTCATTAGGGATCTGTCTGGTGTGGGGCCCAGGGGATTGGGGGTAAGGTGGAATATTTGATGTACGGCACACTAACACTTACAGAAGGTGCCAGCTTTATTCAACTGATTGGCGACGTCAAAAATTTGGTTAGGGCTAGTCTTTAAACCAGTCAGGGCAAGGGATGGGGCACAGATGGAGGTCAGGTTGTCCCAATACCGTTAACTGAGGGACACAGTCCAGAGGCTTGACCACGGGTCAGTTATCAACTTGGGATGCTCACAGTCAGGGCACCTCTCCGTATACTGCCTAGGGTGTGGGAAATGTTTCATTCTGCAGCAGCAACAGTCATGGGAGTCATGTACCATCAGTCAGGGAGCTGCAAAGACAGAAGTAAGGCTCTAGTCAGGTATATCTTGGGGTTGTTGATTGAAGCTGATCAAGGGTCTGGGATCAATACAGACCTGGGGTCAGTCCATGGTGGTTATAGATGGTACAAGGGGAGCCTGTATGAGCAGCTGCCCAGAGGAGTGGGAGATTCATAGCTGGTTGGGAAGTGGGGCAAGAGGCATAGGAAAAAGTGCGAGATCTGCTGGATGTTGGGACGTTGAAAGGCAAATACATGAAATGTGTATTTCCGAAGTCCAGGCATACATCATTTGTAATGTAAACATTTCTTTGCCAAAGTGCAAAGCAAGCAGCATTAATGTGCTGATGGTAACATGTTGGTCAAAGGCAGATGGCACCATATTACTGGTGCTGGAAAAACTAATATTGTCATCCCAGTGATGCAGGAGTTAGTGGCAATGACTTAGAGCGTAAATGTCGAGCGAAAGCATCCCATCATTTGTGGAACTTCCAAGGGTGTGTGGGATAAGGGGAGCATGTATGATGTAAGTGTGATGACAGACTCTAATGAATGCAATGGTTGAGGTGGATCTGGGATGAGAAGGGGGTTGGTGAACAAAAGGTGTTCTCATTTGGATGTAATGTAACCTAGATGGTTGAGCTGCTGAAGACGTATTTTCACAGCTTGGGCAGTGTGGAGGATGGCCGCTTCAGTATACTCCAGACAGAGTGTTTGCAACATCCTGGTGTGGTGTACCCAGTAGGCAGCGAGGCAATGTGATAGATGTTGAGGAGCCAGAGGAAATGGGATCAGCGTTCTGAGGAGAAGGATAAGGACATTGAGCTGGAAAAAAAAACTCTCCTTGTGGTTGGACAGAGCTCAGCTGCACTGGGCACCAAAAGGCAGACAGGATCTGATTGACATCCAGTTCCAGTCGATGCCAGCTGGATACAGAAGACCGTCACAGATCCTCAAGGTCATTGTGCCATCATTGGGTTTGCATTGTGGAGGCAAACTGCAGTCTGTATTTGTTTTGCTTGTTTTCCCTTTTGCTGTCTGTCAACAAAAGCTCATGTTTAGACTTGTCCAATGGGATTGCCTGTGGGTGACGTTCCCCTACTGGACAATGACAAACTGCAGATATCCTAAGAGCATTGAGGTGGGGTGGTGCTGACTTAGAGAAAATGCTTAGATGGAAAATAGCTAAATGCAGGTAAACTGGGTGGAGCTATTCACAGCGCAGCATTGTGGTTGCTGTGCCAATACTTTGCCAGTGACGGGCAACAGCCGTATGCCAAAACTTTCCCATGTGCACAACGGCCTTTCAAAGATGGTGTGCATGCAAAGGGTGCTGGTCTTTTCCAGATATCGGGTAAGTTACTCCGGGAATGGCACAGGTAAGGTGGAGCCAGATTTAGACATGCGGGACAACATAGGGCTGGGTAGGTAATTAATGAGATGTGTTTGGTAAGAGATGGTTTGAAATCTCCCTGGTATGACATAGAATATCTCGTCGGAATCTGAGTAGCACGTGGAAACCTATGTAAGGGTATTGCATCGCAGAAGATACACAGCATGTTACATAAACTGTTTCAAACAACAATTAGCATCTTTAATATAAAAATAAACAGCAAGAATCCCTCCAAAAAACTCTATGCAACTCACACTTACATATTTTGGCTAAGATTCTGTCTGCAATTTGGAACATAATCTGTAGGGAATGACTTACTGTAGATCACATTGCTATCAGCCCCTTGTTACCTTTATAGTCATAAGAGTGTACTCCTGTCTGACTGAAGCTTCTTTTACACCTTTTGTTTAGGTGTTATATCCTTTCTGCCCCACACAG